TATAACAAAGAGTGAAAAATTTAAGGGGGTCTGAATACTTTCCGTACCCACTGTGTGAGAGAGAGAGAGTGGGTGTGTGTGAGAGAGAGAGAGTGAGTGTGTGTGTGTGTGAGAGAGAGAGAGTGTGTGTGTGAGCGAGCGAGAGAGTGTGTGTGAGTGAGAGCGAGAGTGCGTGTGTGTGAGCGAGCGAGAGAGTGTGTGTGTGAGCGAGCGAGCGAGAGAGTGTTTATGTGAGCGAGCGAGAGAGTGTGTGTGTGTGTGAGAGAGAGAGAGAGAGAGAGTGTGTGTGTGAGAGAGAGTGTGTGTGAGAGAGAGTGTATGTGTGTGTGAGAGAGAGAGAGAGTGTATGTGTACTTAATGTGCTTTTGTCATGCCAATAAAGCTAATTGAATTGAATTGAATTGAATTGAGTGTATGTGTGTGTGAGAGAGAGTGAATGTGTGTGTGAGAGAGAGTGTGTGTGAGAGAGAGAGAGAGAGTGTGTGTGTGTGTGAGAGTGTGTGTGTGTGTGTGAGAGAGAGTGTATGTGTGTGTGAGAGAGAGTGAATGTGTGTGTGAGAGAGAGAGTGTGAGAGAGAGAGAGTGTGTGTGTGTGTGTGTGTGTGTGAGAGAGTGTGTGTGTGTGTGTATGAGAGAGACTGGGGCCTGTTCCATAAAACAAGTTTACCAAATAATCCAGGTTTATTTCAGTTAGTCTGATTTATTGTCAGTTGATTTGGTTCAAAATGAGTCAGACTAACTGAAATAAACCTGGATTATTTGGTAAACTTGTTTTATGGAACAGGCCCCAGGTCCTGACGTCTTTACTGATGGTGATTACAGGCTCAGAGGAAGCTTTGACAGCCGCACAATACAGAGAAATGCAGACAAAGAAGTGCATACTTTATTTTCATCCTGTGATGAATACACATGACAAGCTGTGTGCAATTAATTAAGGGAAGAACAGAAACAAACTGACACTGAACTTTCAGTTTTTCCTCTATTCAGATTGAAGCTGATGAAGCAAGCATTCAAATGAAAAACACACAATGGCCTACAAACATTAACATCACCGAGTAAACATTCTTCAAATGTTCTCCTTTCTTTGGATGCAAATAATAAATCTCTCCATTGCCCTCATTTATAAGAAACCCAGTGAAACTGGCCTGTTTCTCCAGACATTGATTCATCATGACATCAGCTTTCTGACAGACAGATATATATATTATTCTTGTCACCGTCCGTCTGCAGACAGCTGCACTACATACATGTTTGCTCACTGAGTGTAAAGGCAAACTCATCGTGAACAGCCGGAGATGAAACGCATGAAATCATGAATTAAGGTTAGCTTTATTAGTCTTAATTTATTACTGAAATAGCTGAGTGACATGAGAGTTGAACCTGTCCATCTTCTCGTACATATTTCAACACCTGCACGTCAAACCTCTTTTTCTGTTGTTAGAGTGTCTCTATTTTCCTTCACAAGCAGCACAGGCTTCAGAGATCCTGACCTCAGACAGCCCCGCTCTCCAGCTCCACGTCACTGACGCACCGCCGCTTGCTCTGCATGCCGTCGTCTGATGCAGGGAAGAGCTTCCTCTTGGAGAAGGCTGCGTGGAGAGCAGGGCTGTCTGGAGACGCGCTCTGGAGCCCGAGGCTCGTGTCTCGAGAGTTCAGCGAGGATCTGGTGTGGAAGCCGGAGTCGGAGCCCTGGTGTGGAGACTCCAGCTCCGAGTCGCTGGAGGACCTCATCTGAACATCCACACGGTGAAGATCTGCTGGCGTCTCGTCTCGGAGAGCAGATGCAGGGTTAAAGGTCAATCTACGGCCTGTCCCTTTCGTGCGAAACCCGCCGGGCCTTTGCTTCCTTGAGCCTTCAGCAGAAGAGCCAGAGTCTTCCGAGCTTCCGTCGTAGGGATCCAGACACTGGACACAACAATCAGGAGTTCAGAAACACTAACCATTCATTTCAGTGATCATCATCATCATCATCATCATCATCATCATGACTTACACACGAGGTCTGTTTGTGACTAAAGAAGTGAATCAGTGCTTTGTGTTTACCTGCTGGTAGTTTTGCTGGAGTTTCTGAGGAGCTTCTGGAGTGCTGCTTTCACAGCCCTGACGGAGATCATGCAGTTCAAGTCAGATGTGTTGTGTTTAGCTCATGTTTGAGGTTGATTTTGGTCAGAAATACCTTGCTGCTGACATCAGACCATCTGGGGTTGGACTCTGATTCAGAGTCTGAGCTGGAGTCTACTTTACACATCTCCTGACAGAAGCCACAGACTGCTTTAAACACACACACAACAGACAAACCACTCAGAAACACTAGAAATGGACAGAATCTTACCATGTATCTGAATGCCAGTCTACCAACAGCGTCTGACTGAGTATTGATCAGTTCTTCCATTCCAGATCACTGCGAGTCAATCTGATCGATCCCTCACCCAGTTCACTCAGCTTTATATCGGAGCCAATCGTGTCGTGTGTATGTGTCTGTGAGTGTGTGTGTGTGTGTGTGTGTCTGTGTGTGAGTGTGTGCGTGCGTGTGTGAGTGTGTGTGCGTGCGTGTTTGTGAGTGTGTGCGTTTGTGTGTGTGTGTCTGTGAGCGTTTGTGTGCGCGTTTGTGAGTGAGTGAGTGTGTGTGTGTGAGTGAGTGAGTGTGTGTGTGTGAGTGAGTGTGTATGTGTCTGTGTGTGTGTGAGTGAGTGAGTGTGTGTGTGTGAGTGAGTGTGTATGTGTCTGTGTGTGTGTGAGTGAGTGAGTGTGTGTGTGTGAGTGAGTGTGTATGTGTCTGTGTGTGTGTGAGTGAGTGAGTGTGTGTGTGTGAGTGAGTGTGTATGTGTCTGTGTGTGTGTGAGTGAGTGAGTGTGTGTGTGTGTGTGTGTGTGTGTGAGTGAGTGAGTGTGTGTGTGTGTGTGTTCAGGCTTCAGTCGAGGCCTTTTCTTCAGGTTTGAAGCTAATTAAATGGTAAACCACGAGAATCCCGAAATATTCTTAAACATCAGATGGAATTTTATATGGAAGATTACTGAATCGTTAGGAATCTTGTTCCAGACGTCTATTCAACTAATAATTTTCACACAATAATTGGTAGAAGAAAAATTATGAATGTGAGATCGGATTGGACAATAAATTAATTAGTGTATTTTGGGGAGAGAAACTGTCCACCATAAACTATATATATATATATAATATTTACATTTCTTAAAGCTATCGCTAATATTTGATGGGTGACGTTATTTTTTTATTCTTTTGAATTGCATGTGTATGTGTGTAAATGTGCATGTTACTAATGCATTGTCATGTTTTTTCGTTGTTTTTATCACGCAATAAAGCAGATATTTTCTTCTTGATTTTTGGTTCAATTGTAAGAAACATAACAAAAAACAAACAAAAAAACGGACGTTTCTGAGGTGACGATGGCAAAAACACAAACAAACAAATAAAAATAAAATAATAAAATAAAAATCCTCCCGTAAATTCGTCTCGAACACCGGACCGAGGCCGAGCGCTGAGGAGCGTAGTGCGCATGCGCGGCGCGTCAGATCCGGCTGCGGAAGGATGAATGTAAATGTCAAAGATGGCGGCGGAGGGAGGAGGGAAGGAGATGAACGAGATCAAGAGTCAGTTCAGCACGCGGGAAGGCGCGTATAAACTCCTCACGCACTCAGAGTACAGCAGACCCAACCGAGTGCCCTTCAACTCTCAGGGTTCCAACCCCGTCAGAGTCTCGTTTGTCAACGTCAACGATCAGTCCGGTAACGGCGAGCGCATCTGCTTCAATGTGGGCCGCGAGCTCTACTTCTACATCTATAAAAGCGTCAGGAAGGTGAGCGCTTTATCAGAGTGTTATTCACATCACGCGTGACGCGACGCCAATGACACACGCACGCGAGCTGACGCGCGAATCAAAGTGAGCCGTTTGTTTATGTGTGTTATAGAGTGTGTGTGTGTGTGTTTGTTTGTTGTTATGTGTGTGTTTGTTGTTATGTGTGTGTGTGTGAGTGTGTGTGTGTGTGAGTGTGTGTGTTTGTTGTTGTGTGTGTGAGTGTGTGTGTTTGTTATGTGTGTGAGAGTGAGTGTGTGTGTTTGTTGTTATGTGTGTGAGAGTGAGTGTGTGTTTGTTGTTATGTGTGTGAGAGTGAGTGTGTGTTTGTTGTTATGTGTGTGAGAGTGAGTGTGTGTTTGTTGTTATGTGTGTGAGAGTGAGTGTGTGTTTGTTGTTATGTGTGTGAGAGTG